ACCAAGTTACGGCCACGGCCGGCAGCGACCGTTTAGGTCGCCACGATGTTGTGCGAACATACCGTAGCATCGCATTTGAATCGACATTTAATCATTTAGAGTGCTTCCCCGCCGAGGGCGAGTGCAGAGTCCGCCACGGCGCTCTTGTGAGCAAATGCCGCACTGACCGATGGAGAAAAACGGATTGCATCTTGTCTCTCGTCGTTCTTCTCTCTCTCTCTCTCTTTGTTGCCCTCCCTCCCTCCCCTTGTCCTCCTCTTCCTGTGGCCCCCATGGTCGCTTTGGCATGTTGGGGACGTTGGGACTTGGGGACTTGGGGGCTCCTCGGAGGTGCATCGGCGTGCTCTGCAGGTACCGCGGTCCTGCGTGACATCCGCGCTTTGGCATGCACCGTATTCTCCCGGTCATGCGGACTGCGGTGTTGACACTTCGTTTATCACGTTGTATGCTTGAAGTGATCCAGCCGTGCTGTTGTCACCGTTTTCCGCCAGGCGTGCGGGGGTAGGGAGATCTTTGTGCAGGTACCGCGGTCCTGCGTCTCCTTCGCCTCCTCCGCGTTGGAATTGTGCTGCTGTCGCGGTTTCCGCCAGGCGTGCGGGGGTAGGGAGACCTTTGTTGTAGGTACTGCGGTCCTGCGTCTCCTCCCCCTCCTTCGCATGTATTCCTCTTGGGGGCTTCAAGGTGCAACATGAGTGTCACGAATTTGGGCGCCTGTTTTGCTGGCATTCGTCATTGCTCATTGCCCTTGGCAGGTACTGCGGTCCCGCATTTCATCCGCCGGGGTTAGGGGGGCCTTTGTCGCAGGTACTGCGGTCCTGCGTCCCCTTCCCCTCCTGTGCATGTTTTCGTCATGGGGCTTCAGGGTGCAACGAAATTGTCACGAATTTCGGCGCCTGTTGCGCATGCGTTTGTCATTGCTCATTGCCCTCGGCAGGTACTGCGGTCCTGCATCTCGTCCGCCATACCGCTGGCAGGCACTGCGGTCCTGCGACGTTCGATGGCATTTTGGCCCACGCTGCACGTACCTGCCGAGCCGCGGCCATCGGCTAGCATGCCGCGCGGCCGCCCTCTGGTCCGGGCTGGCACTCCAGCGTTGTGTTCGCGACTGGAGGTGGACGATTTGGTCTCGGCCCTAGAGGCGGCTGGCTGGGCTTCCACTCCGGTGCCGCTACATGTGCGGTGCACTGGAGCATCGGCATCGACAGGCAGCCCTGCCGCCGTGGCCTCCTGCCCAACTGTCGCCCCAGCGGCCGACGTAAGAGGACCTCCAGCTGCAGCAGCGTTGGCAGCGGTGGCCTCGTCGTCCTCGAGCGGCACGCGCCCCGTCGATGTAGCTGCTTTGCCACTTTCTGTGCAGGTCCGACGCGGAGATACGAACGTTTCTCGCGGCTGCAAGCGAGGTTCCGTCGCTGTTGCCCTTGCGGCGGCCGCGGAGCCTGCATTTCGCCAAAGAGCGCTCTCAGAGCTCGTAGCTGACGAATTCGCCATGACTTCGATGGCTCCACGAGTGTCACTGTGGCGCACGTGGGTGCGACTTCACGAGGTTTGGTTTGAATCGGAGGCCCTCGCTGGTGAAGGCACGTGTGTCCCAGTTCTCCCGCTGAGCCCTGTAAAGATTTCGGCTGTCATGTCTTTGCTGAAGCACGGGAAGTACAGGTCTGCCGCCAATTACGCGAGCAGGGCGAAAGACGAACACGTCGTGTCCGGTTATCCGTGGACCGACTTGCTCGAAAGAGCTAAGAGGCGGGCCACTGCGTCCGCAACCCGGGGCATGGGCCCTGGTAGGCAAAGTGCGGCCCTCGATCTCACGAAAGTGGCGGGCTTGAAGCTCTCAGCCTGGGAGCCTTTGGCAACTGGTGGGCCCGTGAATTCGCATGCCATGATCGTCGCAGGCTCTTTCTTCCTGACCAGGGAAATCGAGGCAGGCAATGCCCTGCTAACAGATTGCTCGTTTGATGCTCGTGACCGTTGCGTGTCATGGAGCCTGCCTGCGTCAAAGACGGATGTAAAGGCCCTTGGGAAGGCGCGGTCCTGGGGCTGCATCTGTATAGTACTGGTTAGCAGTCCGTTATGTCCATACTGCGTGCTCTCCGCTCATCGGTCCCTCCTCGTATCGCATTTTGTCAGCGATGGCACGTGTGCTCCCACGATGCCGCTCTTTCCGGGCATCGGCGGACTGCATGTTTCCAAAGCGTCCGTCGTTTCTACGGTCGAGGCCGTCGCTGAGGTCACGGGTGAACGGCTTGTTGCCGAATGTGGCTCGCGTCGCTTCGGGGGGCATACGCTTCGTGTGACAGGCGCCCGGCACCTGGCCAGTACTGGGGTGGATCTTCTGACCCTCCAAATTTTGGCCAGGTGGGAGTCCGACATCATCTTGCGATATGTCGCGGAGGCTCCCCTTGAGCGCCTGACGGCCTCATACAAAGCGCAGCTTGCGCGCAGCGACTTGGCTTCAGAGCTTTCGAAGCTACAGAAAGATGTGGCACTGCGCTCAGTTGCGCAGTCCTCTCCATGGGCGCGCGCGGCGCTCGAGGACGAAGTGCAGCTGGCCGACGCTGAGCACGGTAAAGATAGCACACACCAAATGCGCTTCATTAGAAACGAGGTTTCTGGCGTCGTCCACCGCTCCTGGTGCCAGCCTGGCTGGCAACCGGTGTGTTGGCGCACGGTTTGCGGCTGGAGATTTGGCTTGTTCTACGAATTTACACAACTTTCGGACATGCCGAAAAGTCGTGCTCTCCTGTGCAGCAAATGTTTCCCGAAGGAAAACGTTACTGGTGGGGCCAAGGGCCGTGTTGACTCCAGCGGCTCGGAGGTGTCCCAGGACGGGCAGGGGGGAAGGTAGCACGTGCTCCTTCGGGACCTCTCCCAAAAGCGAACGAACCTTCAGCAGCGTTCCTGTGAAAAAAGAACAGGCCGGGGGGCATCATTTGTTTGTCGTCATTGGTGTTGCGCTTCCGCGCCATTCCGTCGCGGGGACTGCGGCCCTGCGTGGCTTGTCCCCCCCGGGAGTCCCACGGTACTTCGGTGGGTGGGCGGGCTGCTCGCTCCGAGCCGGCTTGTTGGTCGGAACACGCGTGTGTAGTTAACAAAGCAGGCGGCTGAGCGTTTGGGGGGCTGGGTGGGAGAGTGTGAGAGTGCACCGCGCGCGGGATCCGTGGCCATTGTGGCTCTAGGCATCCCCGCTCGGTCTCGAAAGCCCCACCCGCCCAATTCCCAACGCTTTCAGGCAGGGGCAGGGGGGAAGGTGGCACGTGCTCCTTCGGGACCTCTCCCAAAAGCGAACGAACCTTCAGCAGCGTTCCTGTGAACAAAAAGAACAGGCCAGGGGGCATCATTCGTCTGTCGTCATTGGTGTTACGCTTCCGCGCCATTCCGTCGCGGGGACTGCGGCCCTGCGTGGCTTGTCCCCCCCGGGAGTCCCACGGTACTTCGGTGGGTGGGCGGGTTGCTCGCTCCGAGCCGGCTTGTTGGGGGAGGTCGTAGATGGAACACGACGCGACGCGAGGGCAGCGCCACAGGGCCAGCCTCGCCACGATCTCATGCCTGACGCGCCAGCTCGCTGGGCAGGTACGGCATCTCTGGAGACCTCCAAAAGTCAAAGGTGCCAGGGCCTGCACTTGACCAGGAAGCCATCAGGACATATCGGGTCTGGACTCGAAATCCACCGTTTCATGTTCCGGAATCACCTGGAACCATTCCGGGGTGATTATGGAAGCTTGACGCTGACCGTTTCAGGTTACAGAATCACCCTGGAACCGTTCTGGGGTGAAAACCCATATGTTGCCATTTCGAGCTCCTTACAGGAGGCCTTATTCAGCTCCTTACAGAAGGCCTTTGTAAGCTCCTTGCAGAAGGCCTTATTGAGTTCCTTCCAGAAGGCCTTTTGAGTTCCTTACAGAAGGCCTTATCGAGTTCCTTACAGAAGGCTTTATTGGGCTCCTTACAGAAGGGCCTTCTTGAGCTCCTTACAGAAGGCCTTATTGGTCTCCTTACAGAAGGCCTTACATTACTCGGTTCCTTACAGAAGGGCCTTCTTGGGCACCTTACATAATGCCGTATTCACATCCTTACACATATTTTTCTTGGGCTCGTCACAGAAGGCCTTATTGAACTCCTTACAGAAGGCCTCATTGAGCTCCTTATAGAAGGCCTTATTCAGCTCCTTACAGAAGGCCTTGCTGGGCTCCTCACAGAAGGCCTTATTGAGCTCCTTGCAGCCGCGAGAAAAAGGCTCACCAATATGAGATCTCATTGGGAAAATTGTTATTTTGGCAACTCGGGTGCACTTCCCCCCATCCCCGAGAAAGCCGTTTTGCATTGGGAGAGGGTTCCAAATGGATTTTCACCCTGGAACGGTTCCGGGGTGAAAATCCATTTGGGACCTCCCGACGCTGAGCGGGAGGGCCAAGCCGAGACGAACAAGCTTCCCAATCAGAGATTTCATTTGGACGCTGCTCATTTTGGGGGCTCGGGTACACTTCCTCCCCCCATCCCCAAGAGGGCCGTTTTGAGCTGGGAGAGGGTTCCAGATGGATTTTCCCCATGGAACGGTTCTGGGGTGAGAATCCATCTGGGACCTCCCGACGCTGAGCGGGAGGGCCCAGCCGCGAAAAGCAAACTCCCCAATCAGAAACTCCAGTTGGAACATGTCCATTTTAGGAGCTCGGGTACACTTCCTCCCCCCATCCCCGAGAGAGCGAGCCGTTTTGCGCTGGGAGAGGGTTCCAGATGGATTTTCACAATGGACCGGTTCCGTGTTGAAAATCCATTTGGGACCTCCCGACGCTGAGCGGGAGGGCCAAGCCGCGACAAACAATGTCCCCAATAAGAAATTTCATTTGGAAAATGGCCATGTTGGGAGGGCACGCCTATGAAGGCATACCTACAACCGCCTGACCCGTCCTTCCAGATTGAGTTTACGAAAGCCGACGGCCTCGGGATCAGATCACGCACTAGGTTCTGTAACCATTTGGGCTCGAACCATTTCGACTCAAGCCACACCTCAGACTGCAAACTCGCTCGGGCGACCTTGTGGCCATTCTCCGAGAGCCTCGGCGGCTACGGAGAAGTAGCAGCAGCAGCAGCAGCAGGGGCTAGGGGCCAGAGGCCAGGGGATGGAGTCTCCCCCCCAGTCTGCGCCCGAAAGCGGAGATCCAGAGCTCACCGGCGCGGATGTGGCTCCTGGAATGTCATGGTTGGACGGCATTGCCTGGATCTATGCGGCCCTCACCGCCGTGGCCTTCGCCACGCTCGCCATGCTCACGCGCGCGTCCAAGCTTTCCTGGGGTGACGTGTTTGGGTCTCTGTCCACCTCCAATGTGTCGCTTCTCTTGCTCACAGGCGCCATTGCGACTGCATGTAGAGCGGCAGAGGAGAACGCATGTCCTCGGGTAGCAGCTTCGACCGAATTCAACGAGATGCTTAGCTCTATGAAACAAGAGGCAAAGCAGAGGATTCTTGGCGAGCTTGCAATCTTCCAAAACCAGGGCTGATGTCGGTTCGCAAAATTGGTTGGAAATGTTGGCCTTCTGTTCGCGTTTCTCGGCTTTTGGTATCATACATGGATGGCCTGGGTGATTGCCTCAGGGCTTGTCATGTGGATCTACACCGTACTGGGGAACATGTTCATTTTAGGGGCTCGGGTACACTTCCTGCCCTCCATCCCCGAGAGAGCCGTTTTGCGCTGGGAGATTGTTCCAGATGGATTTTCATCCTGGAGCGGTTCTGGGGTGAAAATCCATTTGGGACCTCCCGATTTGAGCGCGAGGGCCCAGCCGCGACAAACAATCTCCCCAATAGAACATTTCATTTGGGAAATTACCATTGTGAGGGCTCCGATGCACTTTCCATCCCGACAGCTCCCTTTTGCGCTGGGAGAGGGTTCCAGATGGATTTTCACCCTGGAGCGGTTCCGGGGTGAAAATCCATTTGGGACCTCCCGACGCTGAGCGGGAGGGCCCAGCCGCGAAAAACAAGCTCGCCGATATGAAATTTCATTTGGAAAATTGCCATTTTGAGGGTTCCGGTACCGCCCATCCCCGAGAGAGCCATGGGAGGGGGTTCCAGATGTATTTTCATCCTGGAACGGTTCTGGGGTGAAAATCCATTTGGGCCCCCGACGTTGAGCGGGAGGGCCCAGCCGCGAAAAACAAGTTCCCGAATGAGAGATCTCATTTGGCCACCAGACCGATCGGCGGGTTTGGTGCCTGGGCCGCGGACATGCTGGTGCATGAGATAGGAGAATCACCGAGCGCGTTCCACCACTCGCAAATGTCAGGGAGACACGCATGTCGTCATATGTGTCATGGACTGTAGATACTACGCGGCGGATCCAGGCCATGTGTGAGTAGTTACTTGGCGAGTAGTGGAACGCGCTTGTCTAGAGAAGGAGGAGGAGGAGGAGTAGGAGGAGGAGGAGGATGAAAGCGTTGGTTGGAGATGATGGGGTTCTCTTCCTCCTCATCGCCTCCTCCTCGACAGGTGCGCTGGATCGAGGACTCCGCCGAGTTCGAGCGGGGGAAGGAGGAGGTGGCGGATGCCAGGAGCCCTCCCCGCTCGCCGACCCGCGCTTGGAGGGAGGACCTCGCTAGTCCCGAAGCCTGAAGCGGCGCCTCCAGCGCCACACATGGTGCCATTCGCGCGCAAAGGATTGGGGTTTTCAGCGCCGACCCAGGAGATCTGCAGGATCAGTCAGCGCCGAATCGGAAATTCGGATCGAGTCGGAATGAACGGCGGATCGGGTCGCATCGGCACGAAGTCGGGCTCGCATCGAAGCCGCCGCGCCAGGATGCACAACTGGCGCTTGTGCGAGCGTGGTGCAGCGGCAGATCGCCAAGACGTCGGCTAGAGTCGTCACCGAATCTTACTAGTTTGAAAGATATCCCTATCCCTATGTTTGACGTCACCTCGCCTCGACGCCGATCTTAAGGATTCCCTCAGTTTCTGAGGGCCTATCCCTAAGATTGTCCTCGCTCTTTGCTCGCCCATATTTGGGATAGGGATACGTTCGAGGCTGGTTAGAATCGGGCCGATCGGATCGTCATTCGATCGTGGATTGAAGCACGTGGAGTGGCGGCGGGTCCCGCTGCCCTGCAGATTCGGCGCGCTCCGTCGCCAAGTCAGACGGCATTGGGCCGCTGTTTCGGAGGGTTTTTTTCCCCCCCCCGACTCGTGGGTCTTCGAGTGGGGGATCGATGACAGAATATATTCTCCCCAACAACGATTTGTCCGTCGAATCTATGGTAGATTCGACGAGGAAATCAATTTTGGGACAATTCTGTAGTCGATCCCCGACTCGTGGATCTTCGAGTAGGGGATCGATTCCATAATCTCGGCATCGCTCGCACGTGTGCACTTTTTCTCGGCGAGGACCATCGAGGACCATCCTGGACCAGCGAGCAAAAAACACGCACGAAACCGACAAATGCACGGGAAATGGACGTCCGAGCGACGGCAAGTAAAAAATGATTTGTGAGTCGAATCTATGGTAGATTCGGCAAGAACATAAATTTTTGGGGCAAGTCAATTTTGTAGTCGATCCCCGACTCGTGGATCTGGCGCCCACGCGCCAGATCCACAACGACGGCCGCCATCGCCTGCGCTGACCCTCCGAGGCATTCCGCCTGCTTTTTTCCTCCCCCTGGGCATCGCTTGTTGGACGTGTTAACTTTTTTCCTTCGATGAGGATCATCGGGGATCGATGAAGAAAATCACGCCATAAACAAAAACTGTTGGCGCTCCGCGCGATGTTTTTGGATCCGAGCTGTGCTCCCCCAGCGGAGCCTCCGGCGCCGCCTCTGGCGCGCTCCGCGCGCCAGGGAAGGGAGTCTGGCGCGGATCCAAGAAACCCGCGAGAAGCGCCACAAGTTTATGTTGTGTGACTTTTGTCCGAGGCGGGAGTTTATCCATGACCGCCTGGAGGGTCAGTTTTTGGAGCCTCGGCAGGCGGTGGATATGGACATATTCGGGCCCCTGGGGGCCGAACTATGTCCATATCCACCGCCCGCTGGGGCACCAGGACGTCGGTTCTCAGGCGGTGGATCTGGAGAAATCCCCGCCTCGCATTTCTGTTCTTCTGCTACGAGGAATGCACGGGCGAAGTCGAAGCACGCGCGCGACACGGACGTCCGAGCGGCGGCGAGCCCCACGTGCTCCCCATGCTCACTCGTCAACACTTCGGGCAGTGCCAGGATCGGGCGTACGCGCCAGCACGGAGCACGACTCCGCGGGGGGTCGCGTGGGCGCCAAAGGTCCCCAGATCGGGGAGGGCACCCCCGAGACAGACGGCCAGTGCCGTCCGCTTTGGCGACCGAGCGCGCCCATTCCGAGCGGAAGTGGGGTCCGCCGCTGATCCGCGTGCCTGGATCCATGACTGCACTTCCTCGACACTGTGGAGGTGAAGGGCCGCAGGAGGGGTCGCCACTGGAGGGGTCACACTGGGACGGGCCTTGATCCATGACGCAGGAGGGGTCGCCCGTGCCTTGATCCATGACGCAGGAGGGGTCGCCACTGGGGAGGGCACTCCCTCCTGTGGATCGAGGATCCGCCGTCTCAGGCCGAGAAATCCAGGGGATCCGTTTCCTGGAGGAGGCGTGGACACCCTGAGTGGGTGACCCTGATCTTGGCACTGCCCGAACCAGCTCCCCAGACCTTGGGGCATGCATAGAAGAACACATCACAAGACCGGGGTTGCAGGTCTGGCCCGTCCACCACCACCATATCATCATCGATGTTCTCCTCAGCATGACGTTGGCCGCCTGGGTAGGTCGTCGCGACACGAACCCTTGGCGGCGCGCCCGTGCAGGGGCGGCTCTCCTCGGAGGGCCCAGGGGGGCCTCTGGCCTTCCGAGACAGCTTCTCACCACCCACCAAACCACCCCAACCCAACCCGAAGGCCCCAATTTGCCCTCCATTTCCAGTTGGGGGGGGTCGGGGAACGTTGCGAAAACACACATGAAGCCCGTACCCCCCCCAACCCGAAATTCGGATCTTCGGGTTGGGTTGGGGTGGTTTGGTAGGTAGACAGCTTCTCACCCGGAGATCCGATGTCTCGACTGTTGTCAGGGCGGGCTCGCCCGCAGTCCTGGCCCACGCCCCGGGGACCTGCTTCTCCTCCCGAGCCGCTCTCGGACGGCGGTCTCGGGGCCCGGCGAGGCACCCCACATATGAGGCCGAAAGCAGAGCAGCACCACTCCTTCTCGATCTTATTCGATGCGTCGGACTGCAGGGCAAACGCCTTTGCGAGCTCAGAGATCCAGCGTATTGACAACAATCAAGACGGAGATTTTGGTTTTAAGTTTCGGCCTCTAAGGGCCTTCGCCGGGCCCTGGGACCGTCAAAAAAACGACTCAGGATGAAACACCTGGACTGTGGACTTTGGGGGACCGCGTATTGAAACAATCACGACATCGGATCTCTGGGAAGCCAGAGGGGGCTCCGCAGAAGGCCAGTAGGGTGCTGAGAAGCCCCTCCGCCTGCTGAGAAGCCCCGCCCTTTCTGCCTTCCACTCGCAAGCGCGTCGCCGAGCACCCATCTTGGGATCCGATAGTTCCTTCGATGCAGGGCCCTTGGAAGTCTCGACCCATTCCGAGAGGCCTAATGTACTGACATAGCTCAAGCCAGCGGTTTTTCGCTGTTTTTGGCCTCTGGAGGGCCTCGCCGGGACCCGGGGCTGTTAAGAGGTGACTCAGGATGAAAAGCCCGTCCAGGGGAAGGGGTCGATGCAGGGTCCCCGGGTTCACAAAATCAAGGCATCGGACCCCTGTGCCTCGATCCATTCCTTGGGGCTCAGAGATCCAACGTATTAAAAAAATCAAGACGGAGGTTTTTCTCTATTTTCTGCCTCCAGAGGCTCTCGCTGGGCCCGGGGACCGTCAATCAACGACTCAGGATGAAAAACCGGTTCTGGGGAGTGGGTCGAGAAAAAATCACGACATCGGATCTCTGGGAGTTGGCTTCTCATCCCGAGTTGTTCTGTTGACGGTCCTGGGGTCCGGCGAGGGCCTCCAGAGTCCAAAGACGGCGGGCAACCTCCGTCCCTGCGATCCGACGATGCGACAAGCACTGCAGCATCGCAGAGTCTCACGACCGGAACCCAGGCCCCATCTTTCTGTGGTTTGTGATGGTTCAGGCGGGTGGTAATGGGGGGTGACCCGGATGGTAAAGGGGCCTTTTCGGATTTCTTTTGGAGCCAGAAGGTGCCTTCACCCCCCATGTGGGTCACCCCCCACTACCGCCCGCCCGAATGGTCCCGGGGCCGAGACTGGGCGATACTTTCTGCGCCGTTGAAAAAGGCAGCGCCCAGATCGCAGGGTATTCATAAGCTGACAGCCGACGCCCATGCTCAAGCGTCCCCCAGGTTTTTCGGGGTGGGTTTCCGTGCGGGGCTGTGGGCGTGTGTTGTCGGAAGAGGTTCTCTCCTCCAACGGGAGCCCCCCCCCCCCAAGGGTCCAACATTTCGCACTCAGATCTACAGCGCCTTGCCATTCCCCATTCCCCCCTTCCTGTAGGTTTGAGCGCGTGCTCTTCTTCCCTCAGGTCATCGCTATGGCCAGACGTCGCGTAAAGTTGACGTCCCAGCTGGGGATGTGCTGCGACAGATCATTTGTGTCGCTGCTTCGGCAATCGAGGTACTGCGCTGCATAGTGCAGCATCGGCCTTCACTCCTTTCGATTGGGGTTGCGGATCTGCTTCGCGATCTCTTCTCACCTGGCTCGTGGTCGAACGGCACGCTTGCGGGTTCAGGCCATGTTGAGTTGCGATGAGGGAAACACGGGGGCCCCAGAAGTCTCGTCGACCCACTCCCCAGGACCGGCTCATCATCCCGGGTCGTGTTTTGACGGTCCCAGGGACCCAGCGAGGGCCTTTGGAGGCGGATGACTCGGATGACGGCGACAAACCTCGGCCTTTGTTTTGGTCAACCCTTTGCATCTTTTGTTTCCCTAACGGAGGGTACCCAATTTTCTTCGTGCTTGTTGGATGCTCTTGTGCATCCTGGGCAGGGTCGTTACCCTGGGATGTTCTGTTTGTTTTGGCAAAGGGAGGGTCACATGCTCTTACGGGATGTTCTTCTGACCGAGGTTCGACTGTACGTCAACTCTGGCGTATGACCCACTGTTGATCGTCGCTCAAATGGCTCCCTAACCTCGCGTCGGGGCGCCACCGCGTAAGATCGCTACGCCATCTCGCGTAAGACCCGTCTTTGATCGTCGTCGTCGTCGTGGTGTGGTCGTCATCGTTGGTCGCGGTCGTGGTCGTGGTCGTCGTCGTCGTCGCCGTCGTCGTCGTCGTCGTCGTCGTCGTCGTCGTCGTCGTCGTCGTCGTCGTCAACGGCGGCTGTATCGCGTCCTGCGCCTCCCCGAGAGGCGGCTGCTGCAGGAAGCGGCGTGAACGCCGCGCGGCTCCTCCTGCGGCGCTCCGCCCCGAGGCGCGGCGCGGTGGAGCCGCGGCCGCGGCGCGCGTGGCCCCCGGGCAGCGCCCCCCCCCCTGGACTCGACTCGGATTCGACATGGATTCGACACGGATTCGACGCGCATCGGAGCGACTGGACAGGCAGGCCTTCAGACGGGGACGCAGCAGTCGGGGTCGGAGGATCGCGCCGCATCGCCGATGCATCGGCGAGGCGGTTCCACGTGGAGCCGGATGTTTCCCACGCCTCCGTCGCCGAGCATGGCTGATACATCGGCGATGCGGCGCGATCTTCCGACCCCATCTATTCGCACCCCATCGAGGAGGCCTGTATACAGTCGAACCGAGGCCTACGACCGAGGTCGGCTCGGGGAGGGTACCCTCTTGTTTTGAATGTATGGTGCACGGTGGGGGATGGGTGTACCCTTGGATGTTCTGTTTGTGTTGGCCGACGGAGGGTCTCACGTTCTTGAAGGATGTTTTTTTGGCCTAGGATTCAGTGGGGCGTGTCCCTCTACAGTAGAGGTCTTCAGAAATGGTGGTAACAAATAGCCCGGGGACGTTTCCCCCACTACGTCTTGATTGTCTTTGCCTAAGTTTGACTATGCTTCAGGTTTCTTCCAACATCCGTCTGTTGGAGGACATGCCCGACCTAAGCCTCGGTCCGACTTGCGGCTCCCATATTATAAACCACCACCATCTCCGCTCATCTTCCCTCCTCTTCCCTCCTCTTCCCTCCTCTTCCTCTCCTCTTTTGTGGGAGAGGGAGGGGGCGAGGGAGGTGGTGGTGGTGTATATTCTCTAGCCCCGTACGACTGTACCAGGACGTGCGACGTCTTGATTTTTTCAGGACGGCGCCCCTGGAAGTCCCGAGCCTTTCTCGGGACCGGTTTTTCGTCCAGAATCGTTTTTTGGCGGTCCCGAGGCGCAGCGAGGGCCCCCCGTGGCCGAACATTGAGAAAAATTTCATGTCCTGATTTTTTACAGCGCGATCATGTCTGGGTGCACGAATCGCCGCCCAAACCGCCGCTGCGGCCGGGCCGAGCCGGGCCCCGCTGCGGAAGCCGCGGCCGCCAGAGCGTCTGCCCGTGCCCGCTTGGCCGTCTTCTCGCGGCGGCCGCTCGCGGTCGGGGCTTTTCACCCCCTGGCCCCTGGCCCGGAGGAGGAGGAGGAGGAGGAGGAGGAGGAGGAGGAGGAGGAGGAGGAGGAGGGGCAGGAGGAGGAGGGGATGGGGGAGGAGGGGGAGGAGGAGGAGGAGGAGGAGGAGGAGGAGGAGGAGGAGGGGAGGGGGAGGAGGGGAGGGGGAGGAGGAGGAGGAGGAGGAGGGATTAGGAGGAGGAGGAGGAGGAGGAGGAGGAGGAGGAGGAAGAGGAGTGTGTAGCATGTTTCAGAGAAGGGTGCTTCACATAATTATAATTGGAAACTTAGGAAATTCAGAGGAGGAGGCGGAGGCGGAGGCGGACGGAGGCGGAGAAGGAGTTTCAAGAGACGGGGATCAGTGCAAATGGGTGTCATCCAGAGAGGAGGATCTTTGCAGGATCCTGCAGGTCCAGGCTGCACCTGCCCGGGCTTGGGTGCAGGATCCTGCAGGATCCTGCAGGTTCTTGCGTTAGGTCGGACATGTCCCCCTACAGGCGGATGTTGGGCAAACATCAAAAATATCCAAAACATATTCCAAACTAGTCAAACATATTAAAACGAACAACCATATTATTTCTGGACTACTTATGAATTCCCCCCTGTAGAAGGACAGTCCCGACTTGATTCTTGCAGGATCCTGCAAGGCCGAGTCTGCATTGACCCGGGTCAGGAGATCCCCGAATTTCTAGGCCTCCCAGATGGGGTCGGAGCAGATGGGGTCGAAGGCGCGCGCCGCATCGCCGATGCATCGGCGATGTGGTTCGACGTGGAGCCCGATGTTCTTCTTGCCGACGTCGCCGAGGTACTGCCGATGCATCGCCGATGCATCGGAGATGTACCGCCGATGTTTGGCGATGCGGCGCGATACTCCGACCCCATCTACTCCGACCCCATCTAGCAGGCCTCGAGGAGCGTAGGGGCGGTATCCGGAGAGCCCACTTCGGGGGTGGACCTGGAGAGAGTGTAGGGGTGGTGCGACCTGGAGTGCACTCGTCGACAAATTGGTTAGAGCGCAGGGGAGAGGTCGGTAGAGCAGCGGTGTCGGTGATAAATTCGGCTGTTTTCGCAGATCGGGTGGTCGAGACCAGTGCAGGTTTCGCGGCGTAAGGCTTTCGGGCGAGGTTTTCGGACGTTTCAGCGGGTCCCACGAGGCTCTTCAGCCTTGGTTTACCATCAGCGTTCGCCTCGCCGAGAGCGTTCTGGGGGTACCCTCATCGTTCCAAACGACCTCTGGCGACCCGAGTTATGACCCGAAAATCGCACAGCCCAGAGATCGAATGAATTAAACAATTCAAGACCCCAGTAGGGGATCGACTTGTTTTTCTCGCCGAATCCACGAAGAACATGTTGAAGGTTTGTAGATCGACGAACATTCTGCATATCTTGTGCAATTTTCTACGTATCTGGTGTAGGTTCGACGAGAATATCAATTCTGGGGTACATTGCTTTTGTAGTCCATCCCATACTCGAAAGACCGATTTTGTTCGCTATCTTTGACCTCCAGAGGCCCCTCGCTGGGCCCCACGGCCGTCGATACACGAGCCAGGATGAAAAGCCGCTCCCCGGGGAGTGGGCCAGACTCTTTGGGGGCCCGGTATCATCGAGGATACAAGAGCCCCTAACCTTAGTATCGCAGTGAAGACGTGGCTTCACCTAGGTCTGGTCCCCGTCTTCGCATCGGGGATACAATCTGGGCGTCTTGCTGCGACACATCTGCAGACAAGAGCCCCTCATCCCTGCTGTTGTTGGCCCTCTCCCATGGCCAGGCTGCGGACTGTGCGCAGGCGGGTCCCTCCCGGCTGGCCCCGACAGGCCCGCCGAGTAACTGGCCCGAGCTGGCCCCAGCAGGCCCTCGGATTGGCCGGATGCGGTTTCGGAACCTCGTCGAAGGGGGGGGAGAGGGAGAACAGGGGGAGGCGGGGCGGGATGGGCACGGGGACGGGGAGGAGGAGGACGAGGACCAGGTCGGAGGAGGAGCAGGTACCAATACTGCTACCCTTCGCTCGTTTGCCGACTTTTCGGCCTCCTGGGAGGACCTCGTGGCCACCGCTGGCTTCGCCTCGAGATTGTGGTCAGAACGCGCCCCAGGAGAGGTCCGGGGAGTAGCGGTATCCGTACCTTCTTTGGTCTCCCCACCAGGGGTTTCCGCGCCTCCCCAGTGTCCGCTGCAGCGGGGAGGAGGCAAACGCCTTCCGCACCCTGCAGGGGCGCCCGGGAGTCCCCGCCGCGGGCGGGCCCAGCAGCTGCGGCCCCGCCCGCCCGCCCGCGGCCGCATCCTCGGGGCAAGACCGATGTCTCCCGAGATCCTGGCGCCTCCTTTTTTTTTGAGCTGGGCGTGTTCGCCCGGCTTCGGGCCCCAGGCCCCTCACAGATGGGTCCGCTCCGAACGGTGGCGCGGGAAGACGGGCTCTATAGGGCTCCCGTCGTGCTCATCGGCGAGGTTGCTGTTTGCTCGCGCCGTCGGCTCTCGGGGTCGGGTGTGCTTCGCCCCGGGGGGCTTGCAGCGTGCCCGGCGCCAATGGCGGCCCCGCCCGCGGTCTCACCCGCCGACCGCGCCGCGAGAATTCCCCGCTGACCGAGCTCGCCGAGGCGACCCCCCGCGGGCGCACTCAGCGGCTGGTCAGGCAGAAACATGCGCGCCTTGTGTGGGGGGGGGGGAGGGGGGACCCAGAGATTCAAGCAGTGGGCAAGCGACCTGGCGTGTTTATAGTATAGGCCCACCAAAGATTGTTCTAAGAACCTCTTGTGTGGTCTGCACGACATGTTCTTAGGACATTTCTGGCCGAGACTGCCTTGCTTTCACACATCGGATTGATGTTCTAAGAACATTGGTCATACTCTTAGAGCTCCTTTTTTTGGGAGGTTCTAAGAACATGTCGTAGTAGGCCTATAGGAATGCAGGGACGGTCGGTCCCTGCTCATGAGATCCATCGTCTGGACAGAGTTAAGGCCGAGGCTTGTCCCCCCTTCTCCACCCCTGGGGCACCTGGCCGGGCCCCAGGGCTGGACAGAAAAGGCTCGGGATGGAGAGCCAGCCCATTGGAGAGGGTCGAGGCTTCTGGGGGCCCCGCATTGAAACAATCGACACGTCGGATCTCTGGGGAGGAGCCGCCCTGAGTCTGACGAGGCGGAATACGATGTGCCGATGCCGATGCTGGTCGCCGTCCTTTGGCGTGCGCCTCGCTGCCTCGGAGGGCCGCTGGTCTGAGCCTTCTCACGAGCGGCTGCACCCTGAGTGCGCTCTGCATCTCGGGTTGCTGCATCACTACCGACGCGGTCGTCAACGGCTTGGCGCGGCTTGCCCTGCCCAGTGTGGGTCAACGTTGCTGAAGCTTCGGGTTGCTAATGAGCGATATCGTTTAACCGACCCCGTTTGCCACTATCGGTATCGGTATCGTTTGCGAACTTGCGGTATCGTTCAACCGACCCCCATGCCCATCCCCATCCCCTTCGAGACCCCCACCAAATTACCCCCCAGTTGGGGATACACCCCTCGAAACCCGAAGAATGCGGCCTCTATCCCATCTAGGGGGGTAAACCGGCCAGTGGGGCCCGGCCCACGCTGGTGGGGATGGGGAGCGGTTAAACGATATTCATGGGTCAACGTTGCGTCGGGTTGCTAATGCGTTCAGGGAGGTGGTGATGCTCAATGGTTAGGCATCTTAGCGCGCTGGTCTGATCATGTTCGCTGACCACCGGCTAGCCAGGATAGCCGACCCCGCTAACCAGGTCAGCTGCCCCCTCTAACGTGGTGAGCAGTACCAGTGAGCGGATACTTACACGGCCTCCAATGCCAACTAAGCTTTGGACCCAACCAAGCGGTCCCATATCATTAAGCAGCGTTGCGGTAGTGTCCAAAACCTTTTCAAAACATGATGACCTCCCTCCCCCTCAGATCCCGAGTGTTTACTAATACGCCGGCGGATTTGTTTTGTCCCCCTGGAATAATATTCGACGGAGAGCATACACGCACGCGCACGCATTGGAAAATGCATTCGCACTTCTTGCGTTCAGATGTATAGAGTGCTCCGGCCGACGATTCAGTAGCTCTCTTCCTCTTGGAACAGTGTACGTGCGCACGCTTCCCACACAGCATGGACCGTGGCGGCCGCGTGCGCGGCGGCCTTGCCCCTCGTGCAGCTTTGCGTTTTCCCACGCCGGTGCCATCCGGAGCCGCCGTGCGCGCGGCGGCCTGCGGTGCTTCTGGATTGCATGTTCCGCGCAGGGAGGGGCATGGCCGCCGCGCGCGTGGCGGCTGATGGGGGTGGGTGGGGCACAAGGGCAGCCGCGCGCGCGGCGGCTCTTGGCGTCCCCGGGTGGCATTTCCACGCAGGAGAGACTGGAGCCGCCGCGCGCGCGGTGGCTGGGGGTCCCTCAAGAGCCGCGCGCGGCGGCTCTTGGTGCTCCCCAGGTGCATCTTGCATTTGGAAGAAGGCAGGGCCGCCGCGCGCGCGGCGGCTGGGGATTCTCAGGAGTTGTCGCGCGCGCGGCGGCTCTTGAAGGAGGCAGGGCCGCCGCGCGCGCGCGGCGGCTGACGGCCCTCGCGAGCCACCGGGCGCGCGTGTTCTAGGCGTTCCAGAGCTGTATTTCCCCCGCGCGGAAGAAAGACAAGGCCGCCGCGCGCGTGACGGCTGGGGGTTCTCAAAAGTTGCCGCGCGCGCGGCTGCCGCTGGTGCTCCCGAGTGGCATTTTCCACGCAGAAGGAGGCAGGGCCGCCGCGCGCGCGGCGGCTCGGGGCCACCGAGAGCCGAAGAACCGCCGCCGCTGCGGCTCGTGGTGCTCCCGAGATGTGGGCAGGCCGCCGCGCGCTCGGCGGCGAGGGGGGGGCCGGGTCGAGGGGTGGGCGGGGGAGTGGATGGGGGGTGGGGGCTCAAGAGCAACCGTGCGCGCGGCGGCATTCCGTGCTCTAGACTTTGTACGTTACCACCAGAAGAGAACAGGGCCGCCGCGTGCGCGGCGGCTGCTGGTGCTCCCGAATGGTATTGTTCTGCGCAGATGAAGGCAGCACCTCCGCGCGCGCGGAGCCGCCGCGCGGCTGCGGCTCTTTGTGCTCCAGAGTGGTATTTCCCATGCAGGGGAGGGCAGGGCCGCCGCGCGCGCGGCGGTTCGGGGCCCCGAGAGCTGCCGCGTGCGCGGATGCTCTCAGTACTCCCGAGTGTGCTTTTTTTTTCCGCGCAGAAGAAGGCAGGGCCGCCGCGCGCTCGGCGGCTGGGGGTCCTCTAGGGCCGCCGCGCGCGCGGCGGCTTCTCGTGCTCCAGATTGGTATTGTATTGCGCAGAGGTGGGCAGGGCGGCCGCGCGCGCGGCGGTTCGGGGCCACCATGGGCCGCCGCACGCGGCGCCCTTCGGTGCTCTCGAGTGGTATGTTTCCGCACAGAAGAGAGCAGGGAAGCCGCGCGCTCGGCGGCTGGGGACCCTCAAAGGCAGCGGCCGCGCGCGCGGCTGCCCCGTGTGCTTCTGATTGGTATGTTTCCAGTCAGTCCAGGCCACGTCCGCCCCGCGCGCAGCAGAGCGGCGCGCGGCAGCCTACAATGCGCTGGCGCGCGCTTTCGCGTGGCGGTTTCTATGTTGTCCGCAATCGGAATGCCGCCGTGCTGGCCTGCGAACTGAAGCGATCCTTCTCTGGCGGTTGCCGATTGGGTTTCCAAGTTGGAGTGCGGTCTTTACGTTTTCGTCGATCGGTGCAGCCTACACTGTGCCGACGCGCGCGTGTGGCGCTTTTCGTATGGTTCGCGATGGGAAAGTCGCCCTGTGCGGGTCACTGCCTCTGGGCATCCCCCTTTGGATGACCACAGTGCACTCACCAGAGTGCATTCTGGTGAGTGCACCTTGGTGAGGCGATGGGGCTGAAAGCGCACTCATGGTGAGTGCGCGCGCCGAGTGTCGGTGCTGAATTCCGCGCCGAGTGTGACTGTGGAGTGTCGGCGCCGAGTGTCGGTGCCGAGCGTCGGTGCCGAGCGTCGGCGGCGATCGTCGTTGACGCGCCGAGCGTCGGGGCCGATCGTCGTTGACGTGGGGGGTCTCTAAAGACCTGCCCCCCTGCGCAACCCAGCGCAAGAAACTGCCCCTTGACGCGGGGTGCCAGGGCGGTCGCGGGCGCGTCCCCGGCGGTCCGGTTTGTCCCGCCTTCCCTTTGTCTGCTATATGCGCACTGCGGCGCCGCGAGTATGTTTTGTCTTAGCTGTGCCCCACGATTGTTTAACTTGTTTTTTTGGCATTCGCCGTAGCATTGCAATGCAATCGTTCAGTTGCTTCGGCAATGTGATGCCCAAGCGAAGCCAAGCCGCCAATTCTTTATAAATGTTACACGTGCATAACAAGGCTTATCAAATGGTTGGTACATGTTGCCAGGGAGTTGGCAGGGGTTGCCAGAGGGGTGCCAAGAAGTTACAACCATGATAAGTGTTAGCTGCTAGCGCAACAAAACCTCATCCACGTCTGGCTCCTTCGTCGACACGTATGTATCCGGGTTTCTGGTCCGAACGCGCCCTCTGGGAGAGGTCTGGGGAGTTGCGAGATCAGTGCTTTCTTTGTCCCCCCTGAGTCGCAGGCCCTGAGGGCAACGGGTCCCGGACGCTCTTGTTCGTGATGCCGAAACCCAAGCCAAAACCCTCCTGGCACCCCTGGGTAAGGGAAGCGATTGCATCTGGTTTTGGCGCGTTTTGCCTTCGATTGGGACCCTGACCGTCGCGTTTTGCGGCCGGGTCGGCTGTTCAAGCTGTGGTTGGAGACGACCGAGGAATTCCAGATCTTCAAGACCTGAAGGCGCCGAGGCGCCCCCGCGCCGCCCGTCTCTGGACGGCCTCCGGGCCCATGGTGCGCGCGTTGTTTTGTCTACGGCGGCGGCCCGGACCCTTCCCCCATGCTGGTGCCAGCGCGCACTGTAGATGGCGATCGCAGTGCGCCCCAGCGCCCTGGCGTGGCCCACTCCCCACCCAAGCCTTGCCGCTACCGGGGGTTCCAATCCCCTCTCGCCCCTCCCCGTTTAACAGCCGAAACCAGAAATCGTATATGCATGTACAGATATGTATGTATGTATGCATGCGTGCATCTATGCATGTATGTATGTATAGACATATGAATGGATGGATGGATGGATGGGTGGATTGATGTATGAACGTACTGACATACATTAATCCATGTATATATGGATGGATGCATGTAGGTTCGTGAGTATGCACGCATGTATGCATGTGTATGCATGAATGTATGTATATATATATGTATATATATATGTGTATGTACGTATGTATGTATGCATGTATGTATGTATGTATGTACGAATGTATATATACATGTATGTATGTATGTATGTATGTATGTATGTATGTATGTATGTTTGTACGCATGCGTGTACACATGTTTGTGTATGTATGTATGTATGTGTGTCCGCATGTATGTATGTATGCATGCATGTATGCACGTACGAATGTAGTTATGCAGGTATGCATGTATTTATGTATGTATGTGTACATGTTTGTGTTTATGTGTTTCATGTACATACGTATGTGTTTGTATGCATTTATGTATGTATGCATGCACGTGTGTATGTATGTATGTACGTACGTATGTATGTACGTATGTTTGTATGTATGTATAGATATGTATATACGTATTCATGCATACGCGTACGTATGCATTTACGTATGCATGCATGTATGCACATGTGTATGTGTGTATGCATGTATGTATGCATGTATGTATGCATGTATGTGTGCATGTCTGTACGTACGTATGTATCTATGTATGTGTGTATGAATGTATGTGTATATGTATGTATGCATGTAGGTAGGTATGTAAGTAGGTATGTAGGTATGCATGCATGCATGTATGTATGTATGTATGCATGTATGTATGTATGTAGGTATGTATGTTTGTGTACGTGCTGTTATATGAATGCATGTAGGTGTGTATGCATGTACGCATGTATCTATGCAGGTATGCACGCGCGCAAGTCTGCATGCATGCGTGCATACACGTAAACACTGCTGTTCCACAGGCCGCCAATGCATTCTTTGCACCTGCACACGCCAACGTACTTCGGCTCCTCGACGTGCACACGCCGCCCGAGCTCCGTGCTCCCCGGGCCCGCGCGGGGAACGCTGCTCGGGCAGCACAGCGGGCCCCGGGCAGAGCCCCCCCGGGGTCCAGGGCCCGAGGCCCTTGCGGCTTTGGGCCCCGTCGTTCGATCCTTCGTCATTCGACTGCTCCTCCTCCTCCTCGTCCTCCTCTTCTCTCCTTCCTCCTCCGTCTCCTCCTCATCCTCCCTTTTTTCTCCTTTCTCCTCCTTCCTCCTCCTCCTCCTTTCTCCTCCTCCTCCTCCTCCTCCTTTCTCCTCCTCCTCCTCCTCCTTTCTCCTCCTCCTCCTTTCTCCTCCTCCTCCTCCTCCTCCTCCTTTCTCCTCCTCCTCCTCTTCCTCCTCCTCCTCCTCGTCCTCCTCTTCCTCCTCCTCTCCCCCTATCACGTGCGTGCGCCCGACCGCCCCGTCGGCTGCGGCCAGGACCTTATATATATATATATATATATATATATATATATATATATTATATATATATATATATATATATTATATATATATATATATATATATATATATAGCATCTGGTGGTGCCCCGCGGTCTGGCGCTGCGCCGAGCGAGCCATGCTGGTCGCCGCGCCCCCGCGGGCTCGCCGCGCCGCCGCGGCGGGGGCGGCGCGAGGCCCCCCTCCCCCGCCTTCCTCGCGCCCCGCTCCGCCCCGAGGGGCCGAGCTGCCCGCCACCACTGCCACAGGGAGGGAGGAGGAGGGGAGGGAGGGGGAGGAAGGGGGAGGAGGAGGAGGAGGAGGAGGAGGAGGAGGAGGAGGAGGAGGAGGAGGAGGAGAGCCCTCCTGCCCTCTCCGCCTCCCTGCCCCGCGAACCAGTGCTCTTGAGCCGGACGAGCAGGGTCCATGGAGTGAGCGGGTCCTAGGGAGAGTAGGTTACGAGGTTTTTCAATGTTTTCGGTCCCGCGGGGCCCTCCACTTGCCCTGAGGCCGTCAAAGCTCGGGTCGGGATGAACAAACTTGTCTTGTCGGGAATTGAGAGGACGCCATCCCAGGCAAGTTTGCTGAGGAATCTCCACAAGCTCACTCGACAACGGCGTTCGAGTGTACCTGTGCAGTGCCCAGTTGGTTCCGCTAATCGACGTGCGTTTCGCCGGATATGGTCTCTTTTTATGGGATGTCGATGAGCTATCCCGCCTGGGTCTACTCGGAATGTAATGCCGTGCGCACGTGGCGTGTCCCTGGAAGCTGTTACTATGATAGCGTTTTGTTGAACGGTGTTCTGGGGAGGAGGCCCTGGCACCGGGAGGCCTGGGGTCGAGGGCCCGTCTGTCTAGGGAACCGTTTTTTCTTCATGCCAGGCTGCCGGTGGCCCGCAGTCGTCCGATGTCGGATCCGCGTGGTGTCTCGGCGGTGTAGGGGGGGTCTCAAAGTTCGCTCAGATGCTCTTTCCTATTATCATGGCCAGTGTTGAGCGCTGTGAGCGCCATGAGCTTGTCTTTTTCTTTCTCTGAAGACCGGTCATGCTCAGAAGGCTCGGAAATCCCCCAGCCCTCCGAGACGTCTCCGAAGCCTCCCCCGAAGACGCAGGACACCTCCCAGTGGGCCGGCGGGCTTCCGAGAAGCCCCGCCGCACGTCGACCCGAGGTCTCCGGAGGCCTTCGATCCCCGAGCCGATGCCTTCCTCTCCCCATCCCCCGCTGCCTGGAGAAGCGCTCGTTCAGTGCACCCCCTCTGCCGGCCCCCGGGCGTGGCCGTGGTGCCGTTGTACGCCTTCGAGGGGCCTCGGCGCCTGCCCGATTATGAGCGTTCGTTCGGAGCAGCGAGGCGTCGAGCCCCTCCGACCCCGGAGGTAAGTCGGGCCTGTCCCCCTACCAGGGGGATTCTCGACGAAAACATAGAGAATACCCCCAAAATGATCCAAACATAGTCCAAAAATGGTCTGGGGACTATTTTTAGGATGTGTTTTTTTTTTTTTTTTTTTTTTTTTTTTTTTTTTTTTTTTTTTTTTTTTTTTTTTTTTTTTTTTTTTTTTTTTTTTTTTTTTTTTTTTTTTTATTTTTTTTTTTTTTTACCTTTTTGGGGTGTTTATTATTTTTCGTCGAAAATCCCCCTGTATGGGGGACACGCCTGACTTAACCCTGGAGGGGGGCGGAGCCACCCCTTCCAGGAGTGTCCATGGAGGGCCGAAGAGGGAACGGGAGGCGTGGGTACGATCATTCCGAGCAAGTGCTAGCCGCGCGAAGTCAAGCTCTCGGAGGTCCGCGCGGGCATCCGAAAGTTTGTGCCCCGTGCTCTGTGGCCGGAAGACGGGGGAGCGACTGCATGCACACAAGCTCTCGGAGCTCCGCGCAGATCTCTTGGATCTTCGCTGGCCCCTCCTGCGCCCGCAGGGGGAAGGGGGGGGGGGACTGGGCCCAGATTGCGGGCAATAGTTCTATCCACATCCAGTGAGTCTTGGGAGTTTTGGGCGACCTTCCCCAGAAAGTGGAGGCGCACTGGGTATGGATCAGCATCTGGCCCCCAAAGGCTCGATTTTATCCATATCCAGTGCGACTCGGCCTTGCGGTACCCCTTCCCAAACATTCCAAGACGCTCTGGATATGGATATAAGTATTGCCCTCACAAGTGCCCGGACCTTGGCTTTTTTGCCTTGGTCGGAAGGCGGAAATGACGGGACATTGGTGGAACAGAAAACTCCGAGGCGGGAATTTATCCATATCCACCGCCTGGAGGGTCAGTTTTCGTATCCTCGGCAGGCGGTGGACATGGACATATTCGGGCCCCCTGGGGCCGAAACATATCTATCTCCACCGCCCGCCGGGGCACCAGGACGTCGGTTCCCAGGCGGTGGATATGGATAAATCCCCGCCTCGCAAGAACGGATGTTGGGTTCGATACGTCGGGGTCGTCAATCATTGCTCCGCAGGAATCGAGATAGCGAAACCACGAAACACTGATGCCCGACGTTGTGCTCAATACCATGGAACATCTTGAACATTCCGACAGGAGCTTTAGACCCAATCTTTCTTCTGTGCTTTCCGGCCTGGATTGATCCGTGATGGTTCTCGGGACGGATTCTGGTCGAAAACGCTTGACATATGGAACAAGTTACAACGCCTGGATCTCAAGGAAGCCCCGACACACACCAACCGCTGCCAGCGCGGTGGGGGATATAGCCAGCCACACCGTTTGCCCCGCCACGCCAGGTATAGCCAAGGCCTCTGGTAAGAGGAGCCGGTTGGTGACATATGACCCCTCAGCCAAAGCATTGTGCCGCAATCACCAAGCCAGGCCTTCTGCAGCCCGTGTGTTCGTTCGGGTGACAGCAGTTCCTGTTGGTGGAAGGGGGCGGGGGACCAGCACACATCACTAACCAGGAGGGAAAACACACAGGCACAATTCTAGACGCTCCGCGTATACCCACCAGCTCGACCGCGGCCCCGCGCGCGCCCGCCCCCTCGTCGCGGCCGCAGCCCGACCGTGACCGCCTGCCGCTGGCGCTTCCGCCTGCGGCCGTAAAAAAAAAAGTATCCCCACCAGCCCGTCCAGAAACGACGCCCAGGCGAGTAGAGGGTCGTCCTGAGGGGCTTTTCGGCGTCTGGGGTGCCTCGGGGGGGCCTCTGTGGGCCGTTCGGGATCCTCTTTGGGCCCTCCTGGGGGCCTCTTGGGGCCTCTTGGGGCCATCTTGGGGCCTTTGGGGGCCTCCTGGGCGCTTCTTGGGTTTGCCCCCTCAGAAGGCCAAACTGGGGCCCAAACCATCGTAAAAAGGCCTCTGGGAGCACCTTGGGTGCCTCTGGGGGGTCTCTTGGGGCCTCTTGGGGGTCTCTTGGGGGCCTCCTGGGGGCCTCTTGGGGGGCCTCTTGGGGCCATCTTGGGGCCATCCTGCGGCCTCTTGGGGCATCCTGGGGGCCTCTTGCGCCCATCGTGGAGGAAATCGATCAAAGAAGAGGGGAGCTTTAATTAGCCCTGCCCCCTCAGAAGGCCAACATGTGGCCAAAACCATAGTAAAATCAATGATTTTAGCTTCCTCGCCGAGGTCGTTTTGGACGCTCTGACCGCTCCCCGCCCCTCCTGTCCAGGTCAGTGGGGAGGGGGTAGGGGGATGGGTAAACCCCTCCCCGAAGGGGAAGAGGGAGGGGTGGAAGAGGAAACGCCCTAAACCACCGACGCCCAGAGGGCTGGTGGGATTAATCGTCGATTCCCAGGAAAACATTGAAACATGTGGGAAGTGGGGGGGAAGACGAGCATCCCACAAATATTTAGGAACATCTCGGGAATCTTGGGATCTGTGTATATCTATTTGTGTGCCCCTGGGCCCCTTCAACTAAACCAGGCTCCTCGAAACTTGGTCCTGCCAATGCTCAAGCAGTGGCGAAGCGTCCTGGCGTGCCTATACCCCTACCAAACAATGTTCTAAGACCTTTTTGTGGTGTCCACGAGATGTTCTTAGAACAGTTCTGGCGGAGCCTGTCTTGTTTCATCACATCGGGCCTCTGTTCTAAGAACAGTGTGTTTTGGGATTCGAACACGTGGGGGTCCTGAGAGCATCTCGTGGTTGGACCAGGGACGCCGGGACGGTCGCTCCCTACTCCAAGTGCCCGACCCTGCCCCCCCCCTCAGTGCCCAGCAGCCCTGCCTACGTCGACCTGACGAGCCTGCACTTCCAGCCGCGCGCCGCCGCGCCGAGGCCGCGACGGTGCGGCCGGCGGCCGCCGCCCGCTCCGAGTCGTCGTCGTCGTCGTCGTCGTCGTCGTCGTCGTCGTCGTCGTCGTCGTCGTTGTCGCGGAGGGGGGATGGCTGCTCCCCACTACTGTTTGGGTTTAAGTCCGTCAGTGAGCCCGCGCAGGAGCAACGATCCCGTCACCGAGGGGTTTCAACGACACATCACGGTGATGCTATCGAGGGTCCTTGATCTCAGATGTCTGCCGATTTTCCTGTTCTTCTATTTCCTGCTCCTCCTCCTCCTCCTGCTCCTCCTCCGTGTTTCTTCCTTTCTTCAGTGGCCACACACAGAGCAGCGCTTGGACGGACGCATCGGCAAGAAGACTGAACGGGATTCGTGCACACGCGCCCCTGCAGTGCCTTGGAAGCGTACGCTGGAATTCTTTGCTTCAGCGAAGCGCAAGGGAATGCTACAGTGCGCAGGAGGAGGATGAGGAGGAGGGAGGGGAAAAAGGAGGGGGGAGGGGGGAGGGGGGGGGAGGGCTGAGTGATGCAAACATGCCCCAGATTCACATCATCTGGGCCATGGATTCGTATCTCCATGAAAAGCAATACTCTGCAACAGCTGCCTTCCATTGCCCCGGTGTTCCACGCAATAGGGCTTGCAATTTGTCGGGGTCGTTTCTTGCCACAGCCAGGGCTTGAGCGTGCATGTAGGCGTTCCATATGTAGGGCTTCAGTCGCCCTTCCATATGAGAACAACAATTTCCCCCCTGTACAAGAAACGTTGATCCTTGACCCTCCAGTTCTTTCTTCTCCATCCACACCCCGAATCCAGATCCGTTATCCTCATCCTTTTCCTTCACCTGCCTGTCGTGGACCTCCTCCTCTTCCTCTGCCCCATCCTTTTCCGAAAAATGATGCTGACGACGACCACGACGACGCAAACGACGACGCAGAAGATGACGACACCAATGACGACGATGACGATGACCGCGTCGATCGACGACCACGGCGGCGACGGCGGCAGTTGCCGGCGACCGCTCCCGAGGCAGCGCGCGCCCCGCGCGGTGTCGCCGCGGGCCGACGAACACCTGGACAGCTGCTGCGGTGCCTCGCGGAGCCCCGCGTGGTCGGTGGGGTTGTCGCAGGCGCTTGCCGCCCTTCGCACGGATGGTCGTCGTCGTCGTCGCCGCCGTCGCCGTCGCCGTCGCCGTCGCCGTCGCCGTCGTCGTCGTCGTCGTCGTCGTCGTCGTCGTCGTCGTCGTCGTCGTCGTCGTCGTCATTACAGTTGCCGTCGCCGTGCCCGTCGCCGTCGCCGTGCTCGTCACCGTCGCCGTCGCCATCACCTTCGCCGTCGTCGTCGTCGTCGCCGCCGTCGCCGCCGCCGCCGCCGTCGTCGTCGTCGTCGTCGTCGTCGTCGTCGTCGTCGTCGTCGTCGTCGTCGTTGGGGTCGGGGTCCGAGTCGAGGTCGGGATCGGGGTCGGGGTCGTCGTTGTCGTCCGTTCCCTCCCCCTCCTCCCGCGCGAAAGCACGCGCGGGAGGAGGGGGAGGAGGAGGAGGAGGAGGAAGAGGAGGAGGAGGACGAGGAGGAGGAGGAGGAAAAGAAGGAAGAGGAGGAGGAGGAGGAGGAGGAGGAGGAGGAGGAGGAGGAGGAGGAGGAGGAGGAAGAGGAGGGTCAAGAGGTTGACGAGGAGGTGGAGGGGGAGGGGGAGGGGGAGGAAGAAGGAGGATCGGTGAGGAGGAGTCAGGAAGAGGAGGAGGAGGAGCCATTGGAAACGGAGGAGGACAAGAAGGGGGAAGGAGGAGGAGGCAGGAAGAGGAGGGAGGAGGAGGAGGAAGGGTGACCGTTGCGCTCACCGCCATCGGCCGTGCGCGGGGGCCGCCCGTCGGCCGCTGCGCAGTCGTCGTAGTTGTGGTCTTCTTCACCGACACTGGCGCGTAAGCGTCCCGCGTAAGGCCGCGCGTGAGTGCTCTCGTTTAAACATGTAGCCTGCCGCGTTGGCGTCCTGCGTACGTAAGCCGCGGCGTGAGGTCGCTACGCCATCTCGCGCAACGCCCCTTTCTTCTCGTCGCGCAGATGGGCAACGGAGTTCACCGCATGCCCTGGACCATTCAAGACCCCTCAGTCTCCAGTATCGATCATCTCCGGACAAGCCACTTTAGGTCGGCGGTGGGGGGCGGCGAGACCAAATTTTTTCAGTCACCTGGCCAAGTACCAATCGTAGCTGTTATCTTTCAACCATGAATTGCAGTATATCATCAGTATTTTGGTTATTCGTACTACTCCTATTCCTGTTATTGGAAAGGCCTTCCTGCTGGTGCCGACGACCCAGAAGGGGGACGACGACCGCGATGGCGACGTCGGCGGCGACGACGACGCTGACGTGGGGCAGAGTCCTCAGTGATGCGTCGTGGGGCCTCTTCGGAGCTCGCTGATAGGCCTCCGTGGGGCAGCTTTGGGGTCTCTTCGGAGCATCTTGGGGTCTTCTTGGGAGTCCCTTGGTGGGTCTGCCTCTTGGGGGCCTCGTGGGGGCCTCTCAGGGCCTCGTGGGGGCCTCGTAGCTTCTCGGGGCCGAGGGCTCGATTTTTTTTTTTTGTTCGGGCTCCTTGGAGCCGTTTTGGGGGCTTTGATGGTCCGTCTGGGAGGCCTCTAGGGCCGTCAGGGGGCCCTCTTGAGTCGTTTTGTGGCCGTCTTGTCTTGGAAACCAGTTGGGGGACTTTCGTGCCGATCCTTGTGGCATCTTGGGTCGTCTCGGGGCGTCGGGGAGTCGATAAAGGCGAGAACGCCAGAACCTTCCAAACACCGCAGAGCAAGTCATGCATTTCTGCCTGTTGTGGGGCTTTTTTTGGTGTGCTCTTGGAGGTCTCTCCGAGCGTCTTGGAAGCCGCCTGGGCTGCCAGGAGGCCATCTCTGGCGTCTTGGACCGACTGTGGCGATTCGGGGCCGTCCTGGACCGTCTTGGAGGCCTCCTGGGCTGTCTTGGGTTTTTTTGGGGGGGCCCCAGGAGCCCCCGGGGGAGGATGGTCTTCTGACCGTGGACCCCCCCAGGACCCCCCTGGGACCCCCCCGGACCCTCCCCCCCCGGACCATCCCCAGAGCCTTCCCCTGAACCCCCCCCAGGGGGGAAGGGATGAAAGGGAAGGGCTTCCCTTCAACTCAACCACCACGTTGCTCAATTTCGCTTTGGTTTCGCTTTGTCTGGCTCGCTTGAGGAGCAGGGCCCAGTGAAAGGGGGGAGCGGTGACGGGCCCAGGGAAGGGTGGATCAAACGTGACGACGACGACGATAAGGACGACGACGACAAGAGCGACGACGTCGTCGACGACGACGACGACTACGATGACGATGACGTCGAGTCAAACAGAACGGCTTCTTCCACTCGACGTTTCCGTCGGCGGATTACGTTTCCTAGTGTTGCGATTTGAGATATCTTCTTCTCCTCCTCGTCCTCCTCGTCCTCCTACTGTTTCTTGTGTCGTTATTACTCTGTATTGCTCCTACTACTGTTGTTCCAAGGAGTGCTTTTGCTGCGACTCGATGATGAAAATCTGTCTTACCCCCCCCAGAACCCCGAGCTTCATTATCCCAGGTGCATCTTTCTCCGGGACACGGGGCTAGCCATGAAGCAAACGGAGAAAAAAGGTACAAGTGAAGGCGCCCAGGGACGCACAAATAAATGCCAGGATTCCCCGTACTTTCCAATATCTGTTCTTGATCAGTGTCGTAGAGAATCCTGAGGGCGATTGGTCCCTGGGCGTGTTTGCTGTCTTCGGCGTCCCGGGGCCCACCGCGGGCCTCTGGGACCGCCAAACGGTTCGGAGTGAAGAGCTGGCGCCTCAGGGGGGGCCCGTGTCCGTCAGGACCCTGTTGCTCCATGGCATGCCTGGGGCAAGCCCAGTGGAACGACCGAAGAGGCGGGGGTCTCTTGGCGCCCACCGCTGGTGCGCAGGCGCTCCGCAGCGCCCTCGTTTCCAGTGTGGCGCGCCGCGCTGGCGTCCCGCACGAGCCCCCGCGCAAGCTTTCCACGACATCTCGAGTGAGACCCGTTTCTATCGTCGCTCAGTTATTGGAACTTCGTCTTGACGTGTGATTGGGGAGTTGTCCGTTTCTTGACCAGCACGCACGTACCCATCGAGGCACGAGTTGCGAAGCCGGATGGCAAGGCATTGGGTCTTTATCGATCAAGGGATGCGTGCGGGCCTGTGTCCGAAACAACGAAAAGGCATATTGATTCTCACCAGCTGAAGTGCCGTGCCGTGCGCAATACCTTCCGACGGCCCCCCCCCAGGCTTCGCGATTCGCCAGTCGAAGGAGGCAGCGCGATGCATCCAGACACAAGGGTCAAGAGTGCTGGCCCTGTCTTGTGTCTCGTGGCTGTCGCACCTCCGCAGACTTTCGAATTCTCTCGCCCCATTTGCTCCTGCCGAACAGCTGGGCATCGCTCGGACCTGTGTGTTTTTCTTAAGGTTGAGGACCATCGAGGAGAATCTTGGATCATCCTGCGAGAGAATACACGCACAGGGAGTGGACGTCCCAGCGATAGCGAGACAAGGGCGCGAAGGGCTTTAACAAAGGCGATTGGCCTTCACCCGCTGGTCTCGCAGCTCCACCGTCACGGGGCCCAGGGGAGGTCTGGGGCGCCCCTGCCGGTGGGACGGGAACCGTTGGGCTGCAGCCAACAATCTGGAGGACACAAAAGACGACGCTATCTTAGGCCTATTGGACCATCGTGTATTGTCACTTTTTGACGTCCCCTGTGGGGAAACTGGACGGGCAGCCTAGACACGAATACAATGAGTGGTTGCACGTGCACGCATGCTTGCAGGTGACCCGCCTGGGAGTGCGCTTCCTCACCATCACCATCACCAGCATCACCACCACCATCGTCATCGTCATCCACCGTCATCATCTTCATCACCAGCATCATGATCACTTCACCATCATTATCATCTTCATCGCCATCATCATTACCATCATCATCACCACCATCATCATCATCACCATCATCATCATGCTCACCATCAGCAACATCCTCCTCATCATCATCATCATCATCATCATCATCATCATCATCATCCTATTCAGGAGGAGACTCCATCTGGAGGGTCCTCAAACCAGACTCAGCCTCCTCTGGGGCGGGTCTCAGTCCTGTTGGAGCAGTTCTGGTCGTAGCCGAGTCGTCCTGGTTTGACGGGGCTCCCACGTGGCGGCTCTGCCTCCTACGCTTGCCGTTCGGGGGCTCGTAGAGTTTTTTGTTTCCTTTCCAACGGGGATTACTCCAAGGGGGATTATGGAACGGATCTCGCTGGATGCTCACATGTTCGTTCTCTTCCAAGAGCCGTTTAGAGCGGTCTTCTCGTAACAACCCCATGTCTGCCCCGCACCCACCCTCTGCGTCCCCGGCCCGTCGCGGTCGTGGCCCGATTCAGGGCTGTTAGATTGAGGACTGTTCGATTCATCCGGCGCATTCTGACCTGGAGCCGTCTGCGGGTCCGAGGTGGCCCAGCACTGGCTCCAGCGAGCAGGAAGCGGGGGCAAGATCTGGGGTACACAGACGGGTATTGTGTAACCTTCTTCTGCCTCCGGGAACCGTTGGCGGGCCCGAGGACCTCCCGAAACGGATCCAGACCCCGAGAGGGGTCTGGGGACAGATTTTTTGACCAGATCTACCCATCTCCCTCCTCCTTGGCAGATTTCCTCGAGCTCCATCCAGTTCAGACCTGACGGTTGCCTCCCAAGGTCGGATTGACGTTCCCAGAGGTTTTTCAGATTCGGGGTGCCCTCCAGCAGTTGCGCTTCGCCGAGGGCGTTCCGAGCGGCTGCCAGGTCGTTCCGAGCGGCCGCCAGCCATGGGAAGAAGGACCGCCGAAAGCCCGAGACTTCATCATTATGCCGACGACGGACACGGCCGTTGCCGTCAGAGGACGGGGGCGCACGTACGCCGACAGGCGCCCGACGACGAGGACCACGGACTACCAGGACGGGCAACGGACGACGGACGACGGCGGAGAGAGGACGACGACGGACGAGGAGGTCGGGCGGGCCACTCACCAGTGGCGAAAAGACTTGTACCCACGCCCTCGCGGTCTGGATTCCAGGACGCGGTCCCATGGATGCGCGTTCGCACGGCTACGTCCGCGTGGGGTATACGCGGAGAAACCGCCCTGTATCCATGGGGTCGCGGCCCAGGGGCCCGGCCCACGAAACCGTGCATGTGGACATGTCGTCAGCCGCCCACGAACAAAGACGGCGGCCATGACGGCGTCGGTCGTCGTCAGCGGCCGTCGGTCGTCGTTGGTCGCCAGTCGTCGATCTTCGGGCGCCGCTCCCGTTCTCGCTTCGTGCACAGAGCACGACGGGACCTGATAGCCACTGGGCGCCAGGACTGTCAGAGAACGGCCTAAGACAAAAGGCGAGGCGCGCTTGGGCCTCTTGTCGGTCGGGCCCAGGACCAGGACAGGTAGTTCGGGGAGCGCTGTCAGAGCGTTCCAGGAACGCTCGGAAAGGGCCGCGGCGTCCGACCCGACACGTCCTCCTCAGCCGCCGCGTCTCAGAGGCCTCCGATCTGTTCTGGTCGGACTTCGTCGTGGCCCTGGCTTCGTATGACTCTGCGGAGCCGCGCTGTGAAGGATTCACGACGTCGGATGTCTGGGGCCGTCGTCGTTGTCGTCGTCGTCGTCGTTGTCGTCGTCGTCGTCGTCGTCGTCACCAGCCCTCGGTCGTGGCTCGTCGATGCCGTCGGCCGCCGCCACCGTCGTCGTGATCGTCGTCGGCGTCGCCGTCGGTCCCTTCGTCGCCAGCGTTGGCGTCGTCGCCGGCAGCCGCCGTCGGTCGTCGCTGGTTGTCGTCGCCCGCATCGTTGACGTCGTCGCCGTTGTCGTCGCCGTCGCCGTCGCCGTCGCTGACGTCCTCGCCGTCGACATCGTCGAAATCGTCGCCTTCGCCACCGTCGTCGTCGTCGTCGTCGTCGTCGTCGTCGTCGTCGTCGTCGTCGTCGGCGTGGGCGTCGGCGTCGGCGTCGGCGTCGTCGTTGTTGGGGGGGTTTGGTTGGGAGCGGCGGGACGTGCTGGGTCAGGCCCGCTGCGGTGGAAGGTCGGGGGGGAGGTCGTTGGGGTCGGGGTTTGGGGCTGAGGGGGTGACGAGGGGGAGGGGGAGGGCAGGGGAGAAGGGAACTGGGGGGGAAGTCGGTGGGGTGGGTGGGGGGGGGGGAAGTCGTTGGGGTGGGGGCGGGCTGGGGGGGAGTCGTCGGGGCGGGGGTGATGGGAGGAGGGGGGGGGAGGGGAGGGGGAGAGAAGGCAAGGCGAGGAGCTCGCGCGCCCTCGGAGAGATGCTGGTGACCGTCTCCCGCCACGGCTCGGGTGGCGGCGCTTGCTGGGCGCCGCTGCCGCTTCCGTCCCCCGGGTTCAGCCGCCGAGCTCTGGACTCTCCGCGCAGCTGTCTTGCGTCCAGCGCGGCCGTGCCGATCCGGTTTTGAGTCGGGCACGTCCCTCGACGGGAGGAACATCCAGAAACAGTCAACAAAATAGTCTGGGGACGACTATTCGACCATTTTTTGAAGATATTCGATTTCTATCAAGTGTGTTTTCCAATCTGGCTGTCGGGGGACATGCCCGACCTACATCTGTTTCCCATTCCGGGCCGATGCGGTCAGATCAGACACGTTATCCGAGCTGATGCCATCTGCCGATGAGATGTCGACAGTCCTGCGGCGGGGGGCGCCGTAGATTGCGTGTTGGCCCTTTCCCGCGTTCCGCCGCTCCACCCCCTTCTGCAGGGTCAGGCAGGCCTACGGGATGAGAATACATCGCCTCAGAGCGGTCCTGAACGCTCTCAGAGCGCTCTTGATTGCTCTGTGCTCTGTCACGGCCAGCTCGCATGATACATTCAGGATGCAGTTCTTCGAAGGTTTCATCCAGCATCGGCATTCGTATGTCTGTCGTCGAAAGGCAGCTTGACCTGCCACATCCCCCTTGATCCCGGGCAGAATTCCCCGTGTAATCTGGGGCCTGATCTGAGCCTTTCTGGCCCAGTGGCCCCTCGATCGGACCCTGCGAGCCTCTCATCGTTCCCACGGAGACCTCCCAGGAGGAGGAAGAGGGGGAGGAGGATGAGGGAAGAGAAGGAGGAGGAGGATGAGGAGGAGGAGGAGAAGGAGGAGGAGGAGGCGGAGGGGGAGGAGGAGGAGACGGAGGGGGAGGAGGATGAGGAGGAGGAGGAGGAGGAGGAAGAGGAGGAGGAGGAGTAGGAGGCGGAGGGGGAGGAGGAGGAGGAGGCGGAGGGGGAGGAGGAGGAGGAGGAGCAGGAAGAGGAGGAGGAGGAGGAGGAAAAGGAGGAGGAGAAGGAGGAGGAGGGAGGAGGCGGAGGAGGAGGCACATACTTCTACTACTCTGTGTGCCTCGGCCCCCTCAGCGGCGACGCGCGCGCTCAGGACTCTCAGAGTTTTCGCTCGGTGGTCGGCACTTTCCGAACGTACCACCTGGAACACGATATGCTGCAGTCAGGAGGTGGAAAACACACACAGACCCAATGCATCGCCGTTGCCCAAGAATATACAGGAACACGTGGGAAGTGGGGGGGAGACCAACCCCGGAGCACATTTGGGAACATCTATGGGGAATCCTGGGATTCGTGTCTATGGTTTGTGTGTGCCGCTGGGCCCCTTTTATGCAAGATTTGTGCGCTGCGTGTGCGGTGCGGGCGTGCGCCTCCAAGGGGGGCGCATACTTTACGATGTTCCAGCCTAGTTTAGCCCTGACCACCAGAAAGAATTTCGCGCACCAAAAAACTACCGATACTCGAGGGTTTTCACGTGCTGGGCCCTGGGAGACACTCGCCCGACACTGTTTCGACACCCTTTCGACATTTTTCCGGGTGCTCGAAGACATCTTTCTGGGATGTGGTGTGTCAGTACGTTTGGAGCAACCTGACGCATTGTGTGAGGATGGTCTTCTGCGTCCCGCCCAAAACGGTGCGTCCTCATCCGACGTTGTCCTCATCCGACGATGCCATGGGGGCGCGGGGCGGCGCAGCGGCGGGGCCCCGGCCGCAGGGCTTCACCACGGTGGTCGTGCGCAATCTCCCCGAGAGCCTCTCGCGCGACATGCTCACGAAGGCGCCGGGCGACGCCGGCGGCGTCGGCGTCGGCGTCGCCGTGCTCGTCCTCGTCTTCGTCCTCGTCTTCCCCGTTCCAGGACGCACGAGGAGCACGACGAAGATGATGAGGAGCACGGCGGAGAGGACAGGGAGGAGGGTGAGAGGGACGAGACGTCCACTGCACCCGCCTCGTGCCCTTCCTCGCCGTTGTCGTTCCCGTGATCCTCGCTTGCCACCGGTGAGCGGCCGCGTCGCGGCGCCGTAGTCCCTCGTCGACCTGCGCCCTCCTGGCCCCTCTGCCTGCCCGTCCTCGCGACTCAGCTTCTCCTCGACTGATGGGCCCATTCCAACACCACCACTACCATATGTAGGAGAGCAGGAGAAAGGGGAGGAGGAGGAGGAGGAGGAGGAGGAGGAGGAATAGGAATAGGAGGAGGAAGAGGAGGAGGAGGAGGAGGAAGAGGAGGAGGAGGAGGAGGAGGAGGAGGAGGAGGAGGAGGAGGAGGAGGAGGAGGAGAGGAGGAGGAGGAGGAGGAGGAGGAGGAGGAGGAGGAGGAGGAGCAAAAGGAGGAGGAGGAGGAGGAGAGGAGCGAAAGGATAATAAGGATGATGATGATGGGGAGGAGGAGGAGGAGGAGGAGGAGGAGGAGGAGGAGGAGGAGGAGGAGGATCCACGGGCTGAGGAAAGCGGGGCCAGCCGTCGTCGTCGTCGGCCCGCCCCTTGCCCCCCGTGGCCGCGCGCCGCGGCGGTTGCGATCGGCAGCCGCCGCAGCCGCACGCCCGCTGAGGCGGCACCCCTCCGCGCGCCGCCGAGCTGCCGAGGCGGGGCCGAGGGCCCCGAGGTGGCCCCAGTGGCCCTCCCCGACCCCGCCATCTGCGAGGAGGCGGCGAGCGCAGACGCCTGGCCTTCGCCAGGCTGGTTTGCGAACCAGCCTGGCATCGCCGCGCCAGGCAACACCTCGCGGAGGCCAGAGTGCTGCTCAGGCTGCACACCACTGCTCAGATGCCGGAGCAGCATCATTCCGCCCAGAAGGAAGGGGCCCACCACCGGCGCAGGAGCGACGAGCGGGGCGACGAGTGGAACGAGGATGGCTGGCGGAACAGCATGCCGTGGAGATCCACATGCCGTCAGGCATCTCGTCCCCTTCGCGGGGGAGGGGTCCGCGCCCGCTAGCTGCGGAGCAGAGCTGGGAGGCGGACCGCAGACTGCAGCAGCAGCAGCCGCAGCAGCAGTCACAGCAGCAACAGCCGCGGCCGCAGCAGCAACGAGCACAGAAATGGGACGGCAAGAGAGCCCACACCCCAGGTGCACGCAAGCAGAGGGGTGAGGAGGCAAGCCGACCGAGCCTCGAGAAGACCATCGACGGCATCCCCACTGCATGGGCGGCGGAGGCCGTGGTCCACGCCGCCTTCCAATCCCCGCTGAACGGCAAACACCTCGAGCTGCAGCAGGGCGAGGTCAGGCAGCGCCTGGAGTCCCTCGCCAGGTACGTGATTGCGGCCAGAGGTGCAGGAGAGAGCTCAGATGAGATGGAGGAGGAGATCGGAGCTCTCAGGTTCGTGCAGCAGTCGTTGCAGCTGGCGCACAGACGGACCAAGCACATCCACAAGCAGCTCGAGCACCTGGATCGTCAGATCTACAATGCCCAGAGCGAGCGCGACCGCCAACATGATAATATTGAGGAGCTCGCCGACAGGGGGAAGACCCTGATGGGCGTCCGTGGCGAGCTGTCAGGCGATGGAATTCACGACATCATGAAGGACCTGGCCAACGCAGTGCAGGGCCAGGCCATGTCCAACGCCGATTCCAGGAAGCGATCATGGCCGAGATCAGCCAATCCGACAAGGGAGATGCTACGAATCCCCACGGTGGCGAAGACAAGAGGAGTCAATAATTGCGGGCGGCGCGGCTTGCAGCAGACTCGCGGAGGAATGAAGAGAAGGCCGCGGAAGGATAGGCCGCGAGCAGGGAGCTACAGGGAAGAACGGAGGAGGAGAGAAGGGCGGAGTCCCAGCGGAAGTGCGATATCCAGAGGGGGCGAAACCAGGAAGAACAAGCGCAAATCAGAGCGCAAAAAGAAGAGATGAGAGAAATGGCCATCAAAAGGGATCAGGCAGTGCGCGAAGAACAAAGCCGCGTCGCCAACTGCGTGCGCATGCGGGCAGGGGCCAGAGATGCTGCAGCGCAGCCGATGGGGGTGAAGCAGCAGGCGCGGCAAGAAGTACTGCACCGAAAGGTCATGCGCGCGAGGGAAGTGTCCGGGGGGCTGGGGGGGGGGGGGGAGGCAAGTGCAGCCGAGGAAGCGTGCTGAAGAGAATCACGACACCATGGTCAACCACCTTGAGGAGCGGGGGGCAGCGCTGCAGCTATCAGCCCAGCAGATTTTTTAGCGCGCTCTACAACAACGACAGTGGGACGACCGGCAGCGTGTGGACCATTACCAGCAGCAGCGCAAGCATGAGATGACGTACATCCTCGAGCAGAAGGAATACCAGAGGCAGGAGGAGCGCCGCAGGATGGAGACGAGGGTGGAGGATGCCGAAAGCAAGGCTCGGCAGGACGGGGCCACGGGCCATTCTAACCTGGAGGTGTAAATGTTGAGAGAATGGGAGTCCGCGATCAACGCAAAGGAAGGCCACCACCAGGCACCGCGGTCAACGACCACATCCTCAGGCGATCCGACTCCAGCTGTCCAAGCTGTTCCGCTCGCACAGATATCCGTTGTTAGGATGGCCCCCCCGCGCCCGCCGCGGGCGGCGGCGTGGCCCGAGCAGGGGCCGCGGGGGCAGGAGATCGATCGAGGCATCGGCGCGGAGGAGACCGAGCAGCGCCTGATTGTCAGCGAGAAAAAACGGCGCAGGCCCCAGCGCCAGTTGCAGGATGGAGAAAGGGGGTCGCTCCAATGGGCGAGTTGCGAGCCGTCGCAGCCACCATTCGGCCAATTTCAAACCTGCCCCTTCGGGCACTGCGAGCGTCGATGCACGCGACGACGAGAAGATGCATATGGAGTTGGACAGGTTGGATCAGATTAGGACCGAAGGGCAGAGGATGGCGGAGGATAATGGCGAGGGGCGGATAGAGCGGTGCCCTGCGGAGCGCGAAGATGAGAAAGCAGCCATCAGCGATCAGGTCGGGAACTGCACGACGGGCGACGAGGTCGCGGAGGGCGAGGGGGGAAGGAGATGCGCAGCGGCGATAAGGAAGACGTGGTCATGCTCATTCAGCTCGGCATGGAGTCGCCCGACAGCCGACGGAGGAGGAAGGAAGTGCTTGAGCATTGCTCGCCAGCGCTGTCCGCCGGTGAAGGCTATGACGAGACCTGCAACGGCCAGGACGGAGATCACGAATGCACCGTGATATCCGACGCCGAGAAGTTCGACCCACAGGGGCACATCCCACCGCGCGTCGAACGGCCCCACGCAGAAGGGCCGGGGAGAGGAGGGCTCGGCATCCTGAAGAAGAGAGGCGACAGCAGTAGAGGCAGCAGAGCTTCATCGCGACCAGCATTTTCCGCCAGAAGTCAGAGTGCCAGAAGACGGGTCCGCGCCGTTGACAACGGCGACGGTACATCTGGGGGAAGATGGGGGCGGCAGCAGCGCCGCTGACCAGCAGGAAGAGGCGCGCCCGTAGGCGCGAGAAGCGAGGGGGAAGGGCTCAACCTGTGCGCCGACGGTTCGCACAACGAGTCCAGCCACAATCGCGATGGATGGGCTGCTCTGGTCGCAGGGCAGACCGACGGTCGCCTCGCTGCGTGGGGCGCAGCAGTGCGATGACGCAAGGTGCTAGTCCTGACGCTTCCAACGGCAGATTGGCCAGCGCAGCTTCCGAGCTAGCGGCCATGCGTTGCCTTTGCCCTGCAGAATGGCGCAACTTCGGGCGTCGACGTAGCGACTAGCGACTCGCAGCGCGCGACCAACGCAGCCCGAGGTGCTGCCATTTACCAGCCACTCGAGAAGTTTGCACGGGTGACTGCCTTACTTGCGAGCGAGGTGGCTCGCGAGAGGCGGCCCATCATCAGGCGCGCCAGGGGCCGCGAGGTCGACCCTTGGAACCAGCTGGCGGACGCGCTAGCCATGCATGCCAGCAGGCCTCAGCCGCCACGGACCGTATTTCGGCGTCACCACAAGTACGACAAGGCACAGGAGTGGGCGTTCATGCTGTACGACCACGAAGCCCAGACGCGACCCCCCCCCCGCTTGGAGGCCGCGGCTTTTTCTTCGAGGCAAATCCCCAGAGGGTGGAGGTCGACAGCGACGGTCGCGTCAGGCTCCACGGCCCAGACAAGCCTCGCCATGCACTTTCAGGCGCTGCCCAGCTGTGCCACAAGGTGGCCTCGCACAGTGCTATGTCGATGGTGCAGGGGGGGGGGCAGGAAGAGGCGCCGCGGCGACGGCGTCGAGCAGCAGCTGTTGGAGGGGGATCCGCTCAAGATCTTGAGGCCCATCTTCGCGGACTGGCCCCCGCTGCTGGTGGGCGCCCAGGAGGCGGGAGGCAGCGAAGGGCGCGCGTTTGCAAACGGATGCATCCACGTGAGCGGCCCAGCTGACGGAGGGAGTCGCGGCTGCGATTTGCTCATTGCCACCTTGATCTCCTACGGCCTCGCTGGGTCTCGCCAGCTCCATTTGCCGACGGGCGCGTCGGGGTTCTTGAGAAGAGGCCGACCTTTTTCATCGTGAGGATCAATGCGCCATGCCTGGGCATGGCGGCGGCGGTTGCACGCGCGCCGCGCCGCCGCGCGAATGCTATTATGGGAGAGCAGTGGCGGCAGCAACTACGGCAGGGAATGCAGAAAGGGCAGGTCACCATGTGCTCACGGGCGCAAGCGGCAATATATGCATTGACCTTGCCGACGACCGCCAAACCTGCCGCCGCCGGCCGGCGCGGGGGGGCGACCCCGCTGGCATGCAGTTAGCGGTGTTCGCATGCGAGGTGGGCATCACACTGGTCAATGCACTCTACGTTGCGGGCCCCGCCTCGCGGAGTTCCAAGGGCGACGACAAGCGCGCCGAGTACGTCGG